AGAGCCTACCCAAGAAAGTTCGGGGCCATGGGGCCTACCTAAGAACACATCTTAGGGCTGTAGGGCCTACCCGAGAATGATCTCAGGGCCGCAGAGCCTACCTAAGAGTCACATTAGGTCCATAAAAATTTCCAGCTTGATCAAAGCTGTACTTTACAAATCTGTATCTCCAAGATACAATTTATACAATGATACAAATCCATAAGCCATCACCGTTAAGTCGGTGCATCCATAAAACAGTAATCATAGATTTCAGTGTACCACATGTTAAAACAATAAAACAATTTTTTTTCAAAATATAAGGAACACACTAGAGAATCCAAATATTTTTCAGATGCATTTTGTAGTTATTAGTATGGATAACATGAACTTGTGCAATTTGATCGGATTCCAGGAATACGATCTTATTGAAGAGAATCGATTTCTAACTGATCTAATCAGACACTTCAAATTGATACTTTCGAATTCCACTAAGTTTCCATGTGCATCAGGAAAATGTTCAGGAACCTTTATACATAATAATTCTAAATTCATATTAACTGCGAGTGATTCCATTACCCACACAATCAGGGGTATTCAGGAATATACTTTGAATTCATAGGATTTCAGCCCAATTGAACCAAATGGTATTCATAATCTTTTCCTTCTGCATTACTTGCGTTTTCAAACATGACCAAAGTGATTTTAGATGAAAATATAGAATCGAATATTCAAGTCATTTACAATCTATGACTATCGATCATATTATCAAACAACTTGAGTTACACAACTCCCAAACTGATACATGTCAACAAATCAATTCATTATCCTTCCAGTGTATTCACTTTTTAATACCATAATGCACATCCATAGATCATCCCCATAATCATCGTTGAATAGATCTTCCAACGGTCTTTATTTCATTTCTATGTTTCAACGATATCAGGAAATACGGACGTACTTAATTCATGGTTCAACCCATAAGGACAATTCATCATGTAAGTCCAACAGTGTTTCCAAACTTATCCAATCACCTATTTAATCCTCAGTCATTGAGGTTACTTAGTTCGTTTAGTAAGCAAGTCTATCCCAGTTACTTTAGAGTTTTCTAGAATAATTCAGACATTTGTGAATTTCAAATACATGTTGTACTTCCTTTTAGTTCAATTTATTCATATAATAAAGTCATTATGGTATTCGTGGTTGATTTGACTCATGAATACCCACTTATTAGTACTATATGCGCTCTAGAGTTGAGCTGAGCCAAGTACTTCCAGAATTATCATCGATCCAAATTTGAGAAGATGAACAAACATTCAAGTGGTACTTATATCATTCAGGTAATGATATAGCACTAGCGTTGGTTGATCACTTAATCTGTGTTCCATAACTTTTACTGGTAGCACAACATCCATGTTTATTTGGATTTCTTAATTAATCCAAGACATTTACTTATTCTAGGTCATAAGGGCATTTTGGTCATTTTGGTCATTTTGGTGCTCAATGTTTTTTTATTCATTTCAAAGCTTGAGTATATCCATTCATTCCTGAGCTTGGTGACATTCTTGAGTCATTTCCAATCCAGGGGTATTTTGGTCATTTTATAGATCTAATGTATTTCCAACATTTCTTTACGTCCGATCTTATTATTTAATTTAATCTTATCACTTACTTCAGTCCTTTCAAACAATTATGACTAAAGAGCACCTTGGATAAATCATTCTTCAGAATTCGGTAATTTCCAAGTTAAATGTCTTTTCAAATGTTATTAACTAATTTTCAGAATTTTCCATACAAAGATAGGATCCCAACAATCAAATCAGTAATTTATCGATTTAAAAACAAATTCTCAGGTTACTCTCTCATTCAGAGTCAACTTGGACTATTTTAAACTCTCAATGGGCATTTTTATAATTTCGCAGCCATATACTTTTGGTATTAACTCTTAACGAAAATAAATATAGTTCAGAGATTCTATGCTTAATTACTTACCCGAACATTCTCGGATCTTGAAATGATTGATTAACAGACTTCTAGTATCTTGCATTAACTTTATTGGGTTAAAAACTGATTATCCAAATTTTCTAAGCAAACTAGCATTTCTTATACGCATATATAGTTTTATCAGAACAATATATCCTTTCAGAGTTATTAAACAACTTCCAGGGACAATTCTTGTCATCTTACAACATAAGGGTATTTCCGTAATTTTACCCTACCAGAATATTCTCATAATTTTCCATCCAAGTACCTTTATCACTATACACAGAACTTGTAATTTTAATTCTAATAATCCATCAATTTCTTATAAAAGTCATTTGAACCATAATCAGTTACCAAATTTTTATCGTATTCTGATCGAGTGTAGAAATTAATTAACTACACATATGAGACCAATATTATCTTATTCATGCATTTACCAATATTCACATGTTCTATAAAGCATAAAGAGGTAGTAAAGTATTACCTCGATTTCTGGTCATACTGATCGACCATTTAAATTCCATTCGAACGCCCTCAATCTTTAATTCAACTACCAATAATTCCTCAAATACATAACAACATAAATTTCATCAAAAACAGAGCTTAATTGCGAAAAATGAATCGAATCGGGTGATAAATCAGTAAAAACAGCTTATCGAGTTCAAATTTGGCAAAATAGACTTCGGAATCGGACTCAGGACGTCAACAAAACCCAAAATATTACTCTTGAATTCCAGCTCACCAACTTGATTTCTAGCTTCCAATCTTTTTCTAACGAACACGGATAATCTATCGTACAAATACGACTTCAAATAATTTTTCTCGACATCAACATAACTTATTAAAATCTAATGAATAATTTGGGGACCCAATTGTTAAAACTAAAAACTTTAGGAGCCAATATAATTTTTAATTACTAAAATTAGGGACTAAATCGATCTTAATAAAACCATTATGCCATTATCATAGAAATATAAAAGCTAAGAGACAAGGTTGAGCTTTTAACTACTTGGATGATTTACCTTGTAGTTACCCCTTTTTGCATGTTATCTACAATTCCCCAACAACTCACGTGATAATGTTCATGTCTTATTAAACTAAATAAAGCAAATTGCAGATGCCCATACTCACCTTGAAAGATTGGAATCACATGGTCACCTTTTGTTATTTCTTTTAAATTCTCCCCAACCGAAAGCTTTGTAGGAAGACAACGAAGCTTCATCGGCCATTACCCAAACACCGATGACCACCGTGACGACCGTCATCGATGGTCGTCAACCAAAACCCAAGTTACACCGCTCGAGGTGCCTTTGTCTCCTTTCCATGAATCTGTCCTCTGTTCGTCGAGAAACTCCATAGATGATCGTGGATCTACCGAAAAATGTTTAGCTTTCTGGAAATAAAAGGCTTTCGCTCATCGTCGACAACCGTTCAATGAAGCCATATTTACAATATGTTGATCCTCGCTACCATACTACTCTTCCCACCGCACATATCTTCAACCAACATCGGAATCATCGAGAATCAAAAGACATACCCCATGAACTTTTGTATTTAATTTCTTGTTGATTCTTACTATATGGATGTTATTCTTTGGTCGTTTGGTTATAGGTTGAGCAAAAGATGAGTCTACTCACGGCCAAGAAAATGAAGTAAGCTGCAGAAAATGTGGCTTTTTGCAGAGACCAAAAACTCTTTTGTACGAGGAGAGTTCAACGACCTTCATGTGCAAAAAGGCTTCAAAGAGTAGAATTCTTGCTAGTCTCACAAAGATTCTCGTTTATGTAAATGAATTGAATCTGGTTTTGAAGCCAACCTTATCCAAAAACTTAGCCTTAAGAATTGGAAAATTTTGAAGATAATTGATTGTGAATTGCAGGCCAAGCAACGGTGGAAATAAAATTCACAATGACAAATAATAATTGAATACAATAATAAAGTTCACATAAGACAAAAGATAGAGAATTCACGTGAATTCTATAATCCCATAGTCAACTAAAAAACTAACCCCACCAAATGGGGTGTGACACATACCCAGAAAACAATTGTGTTCAAATTCCTGTTTAATGGAATTTGAATTATTTTTGAAAACTTTGAATAAATTCAATTAAATCCAAAAACATTTTACCCATAAATTGTTATATCAAAATATGTTTAACAATTATGAATTATGTTTTTAATTTCTCCAAGATTATCTTGAACCAACAAATTAAAGAATATGTGCATAATACCACATATGAAATAATTTTCCACCAACAATAAATTTCTTTTGAAGATTCAAAATTTTCTTCAATTTTCTAGCCACACATCATTCATCTTCGCATTGTCCACTATCAAACTAGCCACCTTTGTCTCAATGTTTCACTCTTTTAGACACTTTAAAAAGTGAATAATGGATACACACTGTAAAATAAGGTGGAAATCAAAATCTAAAAAATGGAATATAACTACATGTAATGGATGTTTTGGTTCGATGTCCATATATCTGTAGAGATGCTGACACAGTTGACATCATGTAACAATTTTTAACACTCTTCTTTCTAATCTCATAACTGGAAATACAACATTGTCTAATAGATGCACGTGAAATCTTGTTAAATATTGAATCTGATTATCATATTAAACAGTTCACACTCCACAAAATTAAAATGTAAGTCATGAATCATGATCATGTGGGAAATAACCTCTCTCACCTTGGCATTATCAAACTTTCATTTTTGAACCATAGATGAAGAATATGATAGCATAAATTTAATTTACCTCTGTTAACCACTTTTAACTTTGGACAATGAAAAATATGCCTATGCAATGTTGTGGTGGTTCCATCTTTAAATTTGTTAACATTTTCTCCTTAATGGAAACACACACATTTCTACACAAGATATAGCTATTGTATTAATTTCTCCGTTATCAGTGGTAATAACAATAACATCAGAATTTTATGTATTTTTCATTGTTGGAGTGTTTACACTTGATTCAAATTCAATTGATTCAGGTGACATATAATTGTCTAAATAATGTATCAGTTATGGTATCAGTTACTCAAACTATTCTTATGAATTTCTCCCTGTAGCACAGAATAATGTATACTTAAACAATCAGCTAAAGTCTCCAGAGGTTGAGCTTGAGAACTCAAATGCTTTTAAATACATACCAGTTTCAGAGCTAGGAACAGAACTTTGTGATAAGAGAATCCCAGTGTGTAACCACCAATTTTTTACCCCAAATATATTATTTTATTTATTATTATTAATACCAAAAAATCATCATCAAAATAGCCCATTCTGCCCTGCGATAACCAACACCACATGCCATCACCAACCGCCAGCAACCTTCCAGGCCAGCTGCACCAAATCATTTCTTTTTCATTTTTTTTATTTTCACACACGTAAGGGGTTCTATAAAAAACCCCAAAATCAGAATGTGAAGGGGGGAATTTTCGGGGGAAAAAAAGTGAGGTTCTTGATTTTTTGCAAAGGTTCGTTTGAACCTTCTTCCATTTTCGTTTTCTTATTTTCTATGTATACATGTAGTTTAAAATTAGTAGCAAGGAAATAAAAATAGAGAGGAAGAGAGAGAGCGTTTTTTTTTACCTTGCTTTGTCTCGGTCGCAGTCGTCGTTTGGCGAGGAGGTGGCCACCGTCTTTTGGTGGCCGGCGTTGAGTGGGTGCGGCGGCCGACCATTGTTTGGGAGAAAGAGGGGTTGAGAGAAAGAAGATAAAATGAAAGGGGGAGTTTGGTTCTTGGAGAGAAGAATGAAAGAAATAAATATATTTTTTTTTGGGTTCATCGTACTAGTGGAAAGAATAAGGAGGGGTTTTAGTTTTTAACGTTTGGGTAAATTAGGGAACAGATCCCCTATTTCCATTGTACTTCAAGATTTTGTCACCAAAGTTAAGGGTTAATTATTTTTAGGTTCTCATATTTAGGCGCCTATTTACATATTTGGTCATCATTCTTAGGGGTAAATTATTATAGGGTCTCTGAATCTTTAGCTTATTTTTACATTTAGGTCCCTATTTAGTGAGTTAATCACCTGCAGCTCCTCCAACGTTTTCTTTCTTTCTACATTTTAGTCATGAGTAGCCTCATTTTGATACTTGTTTCTGATTACATCATTATATTTTGTGTTGTTTCTATTTTAGTCACCACATATGCTTTTCTATTTATTTTAAATTAGCTTGCTGATTTTATTTTATTTTATTCTGGTCACCGATTCTTTAATAATTATTTCTTATTAATATTCGAATGTTTATATGACCTTGTGGTGACCCTATCCGGGGTATGATCCACATTATTATGGTCCAGACTCTGTTAACTCCTAACTTATAATTTTTATTAATTTGTTTGACTTATTATACGACCTTGCGGTGACCTGATCCAGAGTACGACCCGCATTATTATGGTCCGAACTCTACTAACATTTCTAACACTAACCGCTAATTACTAACATCTAACCACTAACCGCTAATTTTTATTTAATTATTTTTTTATTTATGTATTTTATTTTATGTTCAAACCATAGTACGACCTTGCGACAACCCGCCCTAATGTACGACTCGTATTATTTATGGTCCAAGATAAATATTAAAAATTAACAATAACATTTTACTTTTATTGCTCTTTTATTTTTTTATTTAATTTTACGCACATTTAGTATTCTACCCTTTATTTTTTATTTATTTAATTTTAGTCCTTTAATTTCATTACTTTAATTTTCTGTCTTTTAATTTTGTCCTTCATTTCTTAGTACTTTAATTTTATCCCTTTAATAATTGCACCTTATTTTTCGTTTATTTTATTTTAGTCTTTTTTGCCTTGTTATTCAATTTTTAACTTAACCACTTTAATTTCTTTAGTTTTTGTAATGTTCATTTTAGTATTTATATTTTGTTTGCCTATTTAACGTAATATTTATATTTTAAGTATTCAATTGTTAATTAGTCAAAGTTTTATTTACAACATTGAATTGCATTTAATTTTCAGTTTTGCTTCAATTTCCTTTTTATCTGTATTAAATGTGTATGCAATGTGTATGTGTATGTGTATGCAATATGTATGTAAGTTGAGTATAAGTTGAGTCAACAACAGTTAAGGAGTTGTTAGGCTGTTAAAGGTGGTTAGATAGGTTGTTATTATTAACTGCTTGTAAAGCTGTGTATTAATAGCTTGTTGGTATGCAGATTGTAATGTATCTTTCCTTTAATGAATAAAATGATGTTTTGTGAAAGAGATAGTAGTTCAATATGGTATCAATCGCCATTGGTCCTGGGTGAATTCGATAAGTTTTCATTGCTTACTTCATTCTTGTTGCCTTGTTACTTGCTATGGATCTTGCGATTGGATGTGCGAAAGATTTCTCAAACAAGAAGGTCAACATTATTCTTGATGAGACATACTTTTTGCTATGAAACAACATATTTTATTGACGATTCGTAGTGATAACTCCGTAAAAATGTCATATTTGGGACCTTTTCACTTAAGTTATTGACTGTCTTAGAGCTCATATAGGATCATATAGATGCATTTAAGAGCATATAGTTGCATATGGTGAAATTCTGTTTGTCGCGGTATTTTATTTTGTAATTAGTGCTGCTTTATGGGGAAGGTGTTTTTCTGGTGATATGCAGGATTTGGGAGCAAGGAAAAGCAAAAGGGAAATGCCATGACATAAGGAGACTGTTGAGCATAATGCAAATGCCGAACCAGTTGGCATTTCAAGAGCGATCAAAACGAAAGAAGAATATTTTTAGTAAAAGCCAACTGTCATGGCATAAAAAGTTCTTTATGCAATCAGCCATAATTGAGGGGCCAGTTACCATCTTTGCACCAACTCTCACATAAAAGGAATGAACTTTAGGGTGCTAGTGTAATTTTAACACAAAACCCTAGGTTCATTCTCCCCTATAAATAGAAGATGAAGCCTGACTTTTTGTGGAGACTTACAGATTTTTAGACAGTCGCCAAGAGCCTAAAAATTTGGAGAAAAAGTTCTCTCTTTTTTCGTCAATCATTGTTGCCGTGACATTCCTCTGTTGATAGGCTATAGGGAGTGGCGAACTAGGCGTACGAGAGGAGCTAGATCGTTGGGACTGTTCGTGGTGGCTGAGGGAAGCTCCGACAATACACGTCGAAGGCTTTTCCTCTTTCCCTTTGCTCTTTGCTTTCGTTATTTATTATTTGGGTTGTAAGGAACGAATTAACTTGCTTTGTGCTTGCTTATTTCGAACCCCACCATGAACTAATCCTATTTGGTGGGACTTTATTTTGGATATTTAAGTTTTGCTTTAATGAATGATTGATTTTCTATGTTATAATCTGTTTTGCTTATGAATTTTAATGCCTTAAGGTTGTAGGAGCTGTGAGAGTAGCCATTTCTTAGGTGATTACTTAGTGTTCGAGAGAATGCCTAAGTAATTATTCGAGAGAAACTAGGGAGAAACCATATAAACAAGGGGTTCTAGAAAGTAACTAGGCCTAATCCACCTTAGAGATAAGGCTAGGATTTCATTCGACTAAAAGGAGTTGTGCATGAGCGATAGGTTAGATGTGAATCCTGTCGCAAAAAGTATTGCCAAGACATATCCTGTTATCTAGACCAATAGGATCCCTGCAGTAGCTAACGCCAATCGGTTTTGCCAAGGCATCTTCAATCTGTCGAGTCCCTTACTAGAGATAGCATAAGGCACCCTATTAGACTCTGTCGGGCAGATTAGGCATAGAAGTAAGATCATTCTGAGAAGTAGACTTAAATTTCCTAAGTAACTCCTATCACTCATTCACATAGTAGTTTGTCGTATAAGGAAGTCTAAAGTCCTTATAATCAAATCCAATATTTACAGTTTATTTTGCCTTTACATTTTTATTTGATTGCAGTACACACAATTCCTTTGCCACAACATATCCATTTGCTACCACATTGTCATCATTCCATTTCTATATCATCCATTCATTTTGCCACAACATTATCATTTGTATATATACCATCTCTAACTTTACTTAGGTGACAGAGTAAAGTTTCGTGACAAACTTATTTGATTTCCCCCAATCCCTGTGGAGAACGATACTCACTCATCACTTTATTTCTTGTTCAATTGTGTATACTTGCACGCATATCCGCACCATTTATAGTACTCACAAATAGCGAACAAGTTTTTGGCGTCGTTGCCGGGGATTGACAACTGGAAGTTAATTTGTTTTGTCATAGCATTATTATTTTACTTGTTTATTTTTTTTAGATAGTTTTACTTTTTATTTTCCTTATCTTTTTCAGGTTTTTCGCGGTGTATGACCAGAAGACATTCGGATGAGCCATTAGAACCGGTTGAACCTGAGATCGATAGGCTTTTTAGGCAAAGAATACATGCTCAACGTGCAAATATGTATCAAATCGGAAATCAAGACATTGGTCATAAGGATGATCAGAATGTCGAGGCAAATCTAAATGCTGGGAATGCAGCCCGACCTCATGCCATTCGTGATCACTTAAACCCGATCTTAGATGACTTAAATCCTGGAATTATGGCACCAGAAATTCAGGCAGCCCACTTCGAGCTCAAACCTGTCATGTTTAATATGCTGAACTTCATAGGGTAATTTGGGGGCATGCCAAATGATGGTGCCGGGCAGCACATTCATAACTTCTTGGAGGTGTACGATTCTTTTTGCCAACAAGGAGTGCACGAAGATGTTCTGAAATTAAAGCTATTTTCATATTCCCTGCGTGACCGAGCAAGAGCTTGGTTGAGTGGCTTTCCAGCAGGTTAAATGGAGTCGTGGACTGATCTGTGCAAAAAACATTTACTGCGGTATAATCCTCCGAACATGAACACTCAACTGAGGAACGACATTGCTTCTTTTCATCAAGCTGATGACGAGTCGATGTATGAGTGCTAGGATCGATACAAAGTATTACTTCGCAAATGTTCAAATCATGGTTTTAAAGATTGGACGTAAGTGGTGATGTTCTACAATGGAGTTAATGAACCCACGAGGATGATGCTAGATGCCTCGGTAAATGGTACCTTACTTGACAAATCACCAGTAGAGGCATTTGACATTCTAGATAGGATTGCCACCAATGATTATTAGTTTCCATCCACAAGGCTTGGACTTGGGCGAAAATCACATGGAGCTTTCGAGATAGACACGAAGGACACGATGTCCGCCCAACTTGCTACTATCACTAATATGCTAAAGAATTTGCAAAGACCAAGTGAAGTGAGAGAAGTAAAAGCAACCTATTCAGCATGTTTATTATGCCACGGCAATCATAATGAGAGTGACTGCCCGACCAATCAAAAATCCATCAATTATATAGGCAACTTCAACCGAGGCAACAATAACCCATATTCTAACACATATAATCCTGGATGGCATCAACATCCAAACTTTTCGTGGGGAAACCAAGGAACCAGCAATGCTCATCAACCAGCTCGGCAGCAGAATTTCAATGACTCCCAGGGATTTCAATCGAATATGCCATGGCATAATTCCAACAAGGGAGGGTCATCTTCATCTAACACCAGTTCTTTGGAGGCCACAATGCAAGATTTAATAGCAACAACGAAGACAATGCTGCAAGACCATGCAACCTCCATAAAAAACCAATGGGCTCTACATTAGAGCCATAATTCGTCGCTGAGGACATTGGAGAATCAGGTTGGTCAAATTGCCGCGGTATTACAAGAACGACGACCAGGACATCTACTGAGTGACACTGAAGTCACAAAACCTCATAGAAAAGAG